GGGGGGGGGAGGGTTCGAGTTAGTGCTTATTAACTCCTCGAGTGCTGGAAATGCAATGTTGAAGAAAACAGGAACAAGTGAGGGACAGGGGAATGAGCTGGATGGTCAGCCATGTTCCTATAGAATGGCAGAGCAGGGTCAAGGGGCCAAATGGCCTACTGTTTCGATGAGCCTCCATCTGGATCGGGGCTTCCTCTGCCACTCCTCAGGCCCATGTGGGGGAGGTGTTGCACATTGTGTTGACCTCAGTACCATTACCAACACGCATGTGCAGGAGGGAAGGGTGATGGGGAAGATCAACGGTAACATGAGGGGAGGGGAGGTGTGGGGTAGGGGGCGTTGAGGGGCGTGGGCTAGGAATGGAGGTGTTCCTCTCCACTCCCCATCCTGCACCACCTCTCCCCGCCACAACCAGGCACTTGGACCCTGCTGTGGGATCTTACTGTGCCGTTCAGTAACACAGAGAGACCCCTCCATCTTCCGTGAACTGTCCCCAAATGCCCTCTGCCTCGGGCGTTTAGGAAATGTGAGCGAAGGAGCTGAAGTGGGGGCGCGGCTGGGCGACGGTCCCTGCAGTCGAATAGCCTAGTGGCATGCCAGCGGGTGGCCGGGATGAGGGAGCTTCAGTGGTGGTTCAGGGGGTGTGGTGGGTGGAGGAAGATCACTGGGGGGTGGGGGGGAAGGATGAGAGAGGGGGTGGAAAAGAGAGAGACTGCGCAATTAATGGCCCCTTGCTTTCCTTTCTGTTTATGATAAAACACTGTCCCTTGCTGCAATGGGACGGTCATTCCCCCGCCTACCCGCACCCATACCACCCCCATCCCCACCTCCCTCAACCTCGCCCTCACCGCGCCCCTCCCTGGGGCAGGAGGAGCGAGAGTACAGCCGGGCCCTGCTGGAGACGAAGACCATCCTGGAGGAACAGCTGGAGGCTGCTCGCTCGCGCTGCGACCGGCTCCACGAGCTGGAGAAGGAGGGGCTACTCCTCCGATCTGCCCTCAATGACCTCGAGATGGTGAGTGAGGGGTTTTGGTGGGGGTTGGAGGGGGGGTAGGGGACACTTTGGTGCCTCTGCGGAGGAGAGGGGTGGGGTGACATCAGGGTAAAGGGAGTGGCAGGCATCCTGAGCTACTGTTGGCTTTGCTGTGTGTGTCTGTG